CTTTGCTCTTACGTGCACCCCAGCCCCACCCCCAAAGAGCCTCCTGCCACTCCGCACTGCAGTCTCTGTATTAGAGGCAGCAGCAGCATGGGGTGCCAGACAGGAGCTGGTCCGTGAGGGGGGCCAGTTTAAAAACCAGCTCCCCTTGTGGTCTGGTCTAGCTGCCTGTTGCCCCTTACTGCTGTCTTTGAGAGGTAGCAGCGTGGGGTGGCAGCAGTTCTTGTCCAGGCAGGGGGCTGGGCTTCCAGACCCGGTACAAGACAGAACTGAGCCAGGCTGTCTGGCTCCTAATACACTTAAAAGGCAGAGCCATAGCGGGGGTAGGTCCCAGACCCGGTGCAAACCAGGACTGAGCTGAACTGCTGTCCAGCCTGCTAAAAAATTTACTGCTGGGAGTGAGGGGAATGAAATGCATGTAGTCTATAACATTAACCTATAAGCTTTTGCTTATTGGTTAATCAACTACACTATTACATCCCTAATAAGCACTGCTCGCTCTTCATCAATGCCTTAGCATTCTTCTTCATGGAAGCTATTGCATTTTTCCTCCAACACAATCCTCTTCTCCTAACCTGTGTACACAATTCTTTACCCATTACAGGCAGTCCCCGACTTATGTCGGATCCGCACTTACGAACGGAGCTTTCTCGCCCCGGAAGTCGGGGCGAGAAAGCCCCGTTCGTAAGCTGCTCCGGTGCCCCTGGTCTGCTGGAGACCGTCTCCAGCAGACCAGGGGCACCGGGCGGGTTCCCGCGCTTCTGAGGCTTTGCCAGAGCAAAGCCTCAGAGGTGCGGGACCCCCCCGCGGCTGCGGCTTCAGTCCGGGAGCCTGTGGTCTGCGGGGGACGCAAGAGAGGGAAGAGTAGAGCAGAGGTGAAGAGGAATGGTCCTGACCCTTCCCTGTGTTGGGGGAGGAGTTGCATGGCTGGTGGTCCCCCAGATGGCCTCTGACCATTCCCCTGTGGTAGAACCGCATGTGAGCACATGACCAGAGCTTCTCTGAGCTGCCATTTCCCCAGCCAGAGGGAGTAGGGGATGACATCAGAATGAAGAACCACTTCCTCTCCCCTGCTAGGCAGAGCCCGTGGGCCCGATGCAGCCTGTAACTTGCATTGATCCAGCCTGTTACGCTTGGGATTCCGGACTCCATAGCAGGACAAGCCAGCTCTGGCTTGCTCTGTTGTGGGAAGAGAGAGCCCAAGCCTCGTGGGCCGGATCAAGACATGCCGCATGCTGGGCCATAGGTCCCCATCCCTTTAACTAGATACAAATTTAATCACTAGCAGAACTTAAAATTATCGATAAGGTGAACTGATTTCGAAAGAACATGGTTTTCAAAGAAGAATAAATAAATTAAAACTAAATAAATATTTAGCTACCAGATTGCAGAAAATATCTCAAAAGTAAGTGACATGTTATTGCATATACAGGCAGTCCCCGACTTACGCGGATCCGACTTACGTCGGATCCGCACTTACGAACGGGGCTTTCTCGCTGCTCCGCCCGAGGCAGAGTTGCTCTGCCCCGGGCTTCCTGGAATCAGCTGCTGATCAGTTTCAGCAGCAGCTGACTTGGGGACGCCTGGGGTTCTTAAGTTGATTCTGTATGTAAGTCAGAACTGGCGGTCAGTTTCAGCAGTGTCTGAATCTGGACGCCAGTTCCGACTTACATACAGATTCAACTTAAGAACAAACCTACAGTCCCTATCTTGTACGTAACCCGGGGACTGCCTGTACTTACAGTCCTTTTTAAATGTTCTCTCCCCTTTTCAAATTGTTTCTATAGCATTGTGCCTGAAAATAAATACACACCTATGTTAGTGCTTGGAAGTTCCTTCCTTAACATCTTTGCTATCCAAACTATCATTGGATATATAATTTGTCAGTGGTGTCTTGTGCTTGATTTTGACATTTGCTATAAACTGAATATCCTTCCCTCCCCATCTAAATGCTAGCTCAGTGCAACACCATTCCTTCTAAACATGGATCTTTGAGTTTTAACTTCTACTTTCAATGAAAATGTGTTTTTATACTTAACTCTACACCAGGACTACTCAACTTTGGAAGCCCCAGAGGCCACAATGATACTCACAGCACATGCCAAGGGCTGCAAAGTAAGTGTAGTTGCATATATATTTGCATGTACATGCAAATAGCTTCACACACTGACAGGCATGAATACAAAGATTGAAGCAAAACTACACAACACAGGCCCATTTAAGTTAGTTTTGCTGATATTAATAAAATGCAATATTTATCCGCTTTCCACCCGTGACAGTACTTTTAATGAGCAATGACAGTCCAGGAATTTAACTACTAAAATGTACATAAACAGACCATTATATTGACTCGCCGTAGTGGAACGTGTTCCAGCGGAGGCCATGTTCAAAGGATCCCACCTGTGGGCTGTGTGTTGAGACCTGCATAAACCCAAACCATACCGTGGGCTGAAAAAGGGCCATGGGCTGCATGAGGGCCATGGGTTGAGTAGCCCTGCTCCAAACAGAACAAAGTGTTCTTCAGTTTTTACCACCAAGTGAACATTGTGCCCCAAACAGCTGATTTCAATTACTGAAATTTTATAAGCATATTTCTACCACCATCTCACTTAAAAACCCAGATTCAGCAAAAACTGTTGTTTTGAAAATGCCTATAGCTAGTCTTACCTCAGAAGTTATATAGGAAGACCAGAGATTGAGCATCCTGCAATTAAATTAAATTTACAACAACTCTGAACTAAAGAATGAAGGTGCTTCTTTTGTGCTCAGAAAAAACTCCCACTTGTGCTAAAGGCCTAAGAAAATTATTTTTATTTAGCAAGATTGTCACTAATATCAAGCAGAGAGATTTGTTTTCTGAAGTACATTTCTTTAAACAGCTCACACTAATGAAAGGTAAAGGAACGTAGCTATTGAGAGTATAACTAGCACTGAAACTGTATTAAGTCAATGAAAGACTCAGTTGCTTTTGAGTTTTAGCACTTAGATATAGAGAAAAATTCTTTTTTTTTTGCCTAAGATATGCTGACTTTCATAGCAAGAGTAAGCAAACTTCCTCCCCAGGGTCTTGCCTTCTTTGGTGCTGTCAAATTCAGAGCAGACCAAGCAAATAGGATAGGTTACAAATTTCAGCAAATTGGAAGTGTATGAGTTTCCATGAACCAAAGACATATTCCAATATGAAATGAGTCCATGAGCCCTATACAAGATTTAAATGAATTATTTAAAAAAAAAGTATATTTTTAAAAAAACCTTACTACAGTTATTATCCTGAACAAATCTGATTAAACTGTTTTGTAGTTGGCTTAAAGTAGTGAAAAAAAAATACAGGTTGAACGTCTCTAGTCTGGTACTCTCTGGTCCAGCAACATCTGTAGTCCAGCATGATTTTAGTTAAGCGGATGTCCACTTATCCTGGGTATGGCCACATTTCCCAGGAGCCCATAAAGTTTTACAGTCACCAGTCCTGGCTCTGTGTCCTGCGCTATTATTTAGCTCTAATCTACCCCTAAATATCTTCTAAGAGCCCAGTAAGCAGTGGAAGTGTCAATAATAGTACTTGATAATACTGACGTCTTGTGGTCCAGCAAATTCTCTGGTGCTGTACTGGTTAGGTCCCAAGGGTGCCGGACTAAAGAGGTTCAACCTGTACTAGAGATGTTAAAAATGTATGTATTCAAGTAAACATGTAACCACTAAAACTTCCAGCAGTTGTATGTTTACCCTTTGGGGGGAAGCTTCCTAGATGGTGATATGCATGGCTTAAAAGCTGATACTGAGACAGCAGGGTGTGGGCAGGCTGTAAATGAGAATTTTCTTCATTTTAAATAAGGCTTCAGAGCTCATGCATAGTTTTTAAAGTGACATTTATCAGTGTGTTAAAGTAGACTATAGCAGCCATATAAATCTGAATCTTATTTGAGACAGGTCACTGTACTTTAGGTAATTTTTACATGTGCCAAGAGTGTGATTCAAAATAACATTCATTTTATTGCAATAGGATGCTAAATATAATTCCTTAACAAAAATTTAAAAAAAGGGAAGTTGTGACTTAATTGGATTTTGTTAGACTCCCTGAACACACTGCTTAATCAGAGAAGTCCCTACAAAAATTCCAGATTCCTTGTATTGTGAAGATATTCTAGCAAGTACTTAGAATGACACGCATTGGCTGTGTCTACACTGGGCCACTTATTCCGGAAAAGCAGCTGCTTTTCCGGAATAAGTGGCCCAGTGTAGACACAGCCAATGCGTGTCATTCTAAGTACTTGCTAGAATATCTTCACAATACAAGGAATCTGGAATTTTTGTAGGGACTTCTCTGATTAAGCAGTGTGTTCAGGGAGTCTAACAAAATCCAATTAAGTCACAACTTCCCTTTTTTTAAATTTTTGTTAAGGAATTATATTTAGCATCCTATTGCAATAAAATGAATGTTATTTTGAATCACACTCTTGGCACATGTAAAAATTACCTAAAGTACAGTGACCTGTCTCAAATAAGATTCAGATTTATATGGCTGCTATAGTCTACTTTAACACACTGATAAATGTCACTTTAAAAACTATGCATGAGCTCTGAAGCCTTATTTAAAATGAAGAAAATTCTCATTTACAGCCTGCCCACACCCTGCTGTCTCAGTATCAGCTTTTAAGCCATGCATATCACCATCTAGGAAGCTTCCCCCCAAAGGGTAAACATACAACCCACTGTGTGTCCCCTTTTCATTCTATGGACACTGCTGAGAATGCCACTTAGGTCTAAAAGATTATTTGAATTAGATACAATCCAGAGGCCTCAGTCTAATTACCACACTATGTGAAGGATATACAGGACCAAACGTCCCCATGAGCTGTTAGCTGTGTTTCTTTGGACCTGGATTTGAACTTAATGACTGCACACACCTCATTATCTGTCACAAAGCTATCCAGTTACCCTGCATTTATTTAAATGCTACATGGTGTACACTAGAACTACAGGTAAAGATTCATTAGACTCCAGGATCCATGTATATTTCCACTTTATTAGATTTATTAATGTTACAGGTTTTCTTGCACTGCCAGAACCATGCCTGAGAATTCAAATAAAGGTACAATGGACAGCCTCATCTACCCATCATACAGTGTATTAAAAACTTGATTCATGTGCATTAACGATCCATTAAAATGCCAGAACAAAGTTGGGAATTTAGTATATCGGATATCTACCATGTCATCAAGTGACACTTCCATTTACAGCAAAGAACAATCTTAAACTTTTTAGTGACAAAAAAACATGTTTTGTTGGCAGAGTTCTTTCAGGGAAGATACATGGCTCAGAGTCCAACGGTATCAAAGTCAGTCTACTTTAAGTGGTTTTGATTCTCAAAATTAAATCTTCAGGTTTTAAACTTGTCTTGAGCGGTGTACCTAATCACAGCTGCTAGTTTGGACATTTACTGAAAAAGTTCACTCTGGAAGGACTTTAAGGCCAGTTCTATTCCAAGCATATTATGAGAACAAAGAGAAAGCCCTGACCCCACTGAAGTCAACAGCAAGAGTCTTACTGACCTCAAAGGAAATAGACTTTATACCATCAGCAATTAAATCAAAGGAAACTAGCCACATAATTTCTGCATGAGCCACCAAGCCTCATCGTCTATAGGTGAAGTACTGCCACATCACTAAGATTGCTTTGCCATTGGAAAATATGAAGTAGACAAGGGAATTAAGTCTGCAGCTCCTCCTTTTGGCATTCACATTTACAGGGAGAAACCTAGATTTGGAAAGAGGTGCTTACTCTCTTAACTAGCATACTAAAAACATACTGAATGAAGCAAGGGGAAAGACAAATGGTGTGGAGAATTTGGGTGGTTGTCATTCTTTTTCACCGTATGGAAACTAGTGGGTATTACGTATCTAATAGCTTTAGCATACAAATACCATTTTATTTATCTCCACTAAATTAAGCCAGAAGTGACCAGAAACTGAACAAAGCTCTCAACTCCTTCCAATGTCACTAGGTTTCCTCCAGTTGAAAAAAATGCCATTTAAAATGAGGATTTTTGCATGTAAAAGTTTGCAAGCTCACAAGGTGACCAGAAGCAGCCATAAAATTAAATCTCACCAGGTTTGAGGTTATCCTTCCCTCGGAGACATATCAATTTACCCATACAAGACAGGATTGGTTGGAAACAGCTGTTACTTTTGCCACAACAGAAAAACTCATCTTGAGGTTAATATTATTACTGCATGTATTTTTTTTAAAACTACATTCTGAAAACTACAGTGTGAGTACGGGCTTCTGCTGTGTGCCAAATTAAATCCTACTGCAGTCCCAGTCCCTCAGAAAAAGAGAAGTGACCCAATTATGAAAACCAAAATAAACTTATCACTATTAACACACTTCACATTTTTACTCGCGTGTACTGCAATTCTATACCAGAAACAGGGAAGGCATTTTTTTGAAGAACAAAGAAAACACTTAAACACAACTGTGAAAATGGCTAATGCAAACAGCCCTATCAATCTCCCACCCCACACACCCTCCAATTTCGTATTGGAATGAGTTTTGTTTTGCAGTTATCTCAGTACAGCTCTATCTAAAAAGGTAAACAAACTACAGCTCTGTACTATACTTTGTTAATTTTTGAAAGTGGTATGCTCCAGAAAGTCTCTAGTAGGCTATGGCTACACATGAACGGATTCCTCAGGATGGGACACCAGACAGATTTCTCATTAAGGTCACTTAAATCTTTGTTATTTATAGCAAATCAGAACCAAATGGCTGACTTCTGCAGGATTTCTGACAGGAACCCAGAAGAGAAGCTGGTTTCAAGTTTCAGATGGCCACTAAAACAGTTGTAACCTTCTTTTCCAGAAGTTGTGATCCACATGGTGTCCACAATGAGTGCAGCAAGTCTGAGGTAGTCAACCCTTACGAAGGCTCAGTATCTGAACATAAAAAGATTTTGAAATGACCACTGACTGTAGATACTTTTTCAGAGTATTAAAGAACACTGATGAATCTTGTTCAACCATTTACATCAATTTCCCCCAAATCCAATGGAGAACGGTGTAACACATTATGCTTCCATAGTGCGAGAGCAATCACTTATGTCAAAGTAGTCTGCACTTGCCGCAGCAGATCCAGCAGAAATAAGATGGCATGTTCATCATAGTCGTTAGCTGTAGTTTAGTTACCTTAGTAGGAGGGTTACCAAAAAAGCATTCCTTAATTGTAACGTGTATGCAGCTCTACTGATCCCCAAGCACAGCATATTGGTTGTCTAGCTGAAGTTTAAGTGCCTGGTTTTTTGAGACCTCATCCCTACCTCTATTTTTGTGTTTTACTACTTCAAAGCTCTTCTCCATTTCTTTATCCCTAAGGGAAAATAAATGTAGTCAGTAATTGTCTTATTCACTAGCTTCTGAATTGTGAAATTCCTAGCCAATTTCCACCCCAAAACCAACAAAATTACACTACAAATGCAGAGTAGAGATCTAAAAAAAAAAAATATGTATAAAAATATTAACTGTGTAACCAATCAAAATTCTATCACTTACATGGTTAACCATGGGGCTGCTGGTCCCATGGCACGATGGGGCCAACCAGGGTGGAGCAGCCCCTTGCCTACGGCACACGTGGAGGGGCTGCTCTAGTTGCCGGTTAATCGGTAAGCATCACCTGGTAAGAGTGATACTTACTGAGTAACTGGTTACGTCCCTATGCAGAGTTTAAGGAGTTGGCTGGATTCCACAGGTTATCCATGTATTCCCCAAGAGAACAGAAGATTGCATAAACTATTTCCAGAGGAAAGTCTGTGCCCTTTCTATGCTATTTGTTCAGATTACATTGGTGATTTCATTTGCATAAATCCATTTCAATTTGGCACATTGTGTAGTTCAAAATATATGGTTTACACTTTCAAACCATTCTACAGTGTTTCTCTCAAAGATGATAGAAAAATATAGGTCCATTCCCCTCCCAATGATGTCTGAACATTGCAACATGAAGCATACCCAACAGTCATGTAGAAGAGATGGAAAGAACTGCATTGCAGTTAATTTGTTACTCAAGTGTAATTCAGAATTTCTCCTGCTGGTTTTTAAAATTAACACTGTCCTAGGGCAGCCTAAACATCTTTGACAATACTGTTTGCCAATTGGCAGATACCAAACTAGACCAGAAAGGAAGCTTATATATTGGTACTGTGATGTACCAGTCAATGCCACATCAAGATGTGATAGGAGCAAATAAGTAAGAGGTCTTGTTTACCCTTCAGCAGGGAAGGAGTCCATGGGAGGGACAGGGAATTCAGGCAGTGTCAGTCTGGAGTCTCCTTAAAAAGTCACTAAAGGGCATGATATGGCCCTCCAAACTCATGGATAATATAACAACTTCAGAAAGACTGCATTGACAATATTCTTCCCTTTGCTCCACACAACCCCTTTTGAAACTGTCCAGGACAACACAGCATGTTGTTATCAATTCCCTACTGACAGCTGCGACAGAGCACTGGTTAATATGGAAAGGAATTTGACATTGTCAAGATCAGCAGGGTTTTATTTAAGGAAAGAAATCCCAGAATGTAAGGATAAGACCAAGGAGAATGTTAATCACCTAGTGTAGCCCTCTCCTCAGTGAAAGAAGTCCCACTCCTCAGATCTTTGAGGAACATTGGGAAGGTGGGAATCAGTGTTACCTGTAAGACGTGCACTTGGGCACCCACCCAGGAGATTCCAATGCCATCCAGCTGATTAACAGAGCACTCACAGTCATCTACTGGTGGTGCACGTCTGCACATGTGTTGTTGCACATAACGTTTATTCTGCACATGAATGGAGCATTGGTGGATATCTCCATAAAGTCACAGAAATGATAAAATTTTAAATCCCAACCCCATCAAATCATTTCTGCTTAGACATCTGGGAAAGACCATGACCTGACACCAAATAAGGAGTTAGAACTGATAGGAAAGCATTTTAAATAGGCATCTGAGAGAAATTGATACAATATACTTACTTTCGGCTATCTAGATGCTTGGCAGTGGATTGCAGCGATGGAAACTGTGTATCACTGTAGATCTCTGGTGGCCCTTGTGGTGCTCTCCGTGTCCTGGTCTCCCTAGCACCAGGCGGTCGGTATACACCACTGGACTGCACTGGTTCAGGTGGTTCTGTAACTGGAGTTTATTAGCAGAGTTTTAGACAAAACAAGTGTATAGGCTCATTTTTTCATCTCTGGCTTAGGACCCTATTTTGTTATTTGCTTCCAATGGTCAGATATTCTAATAGGAGTTGGTCTAATACATAATATCTTAGTTTCAGATCATTAGTGAGTGTTTGAGCATGCCATGTAACAATCCTATCCAATTAATGACTAGAGCTTTTTACATTAAAGTGCAGTTTTAGAACTGCAACATATAATCATAAGTGGTAAAAGACAGTGCACAGGATTTAAGAGTAATTTGCTAACATTTGTGATTACTAGCTACATTTTAAGTTACTGTTGTATTCCCTGTATTTCCCAGCCTATGGCCTCAAATCAAACTGAAGTACTTGCTAACAAATAATGAAATGTAATCTATTGTAAACTCGTAAAGGAGGGAATATACACCTACGTGACACTGCTAGACCCAGTGACTCACCCCCATTAAGTTTAACTTTATTTTCTAGTTCCAAAAACTTATACATCCCATCGTAAGAATTAAAAAGTTTTAAATTTCCCTGATAACATAAAAGAGGGTTTATTATAACAGCAGCCAATAAAATAAAAGTATAATTTAGCATTTTGTATTGAAGATGCTATTAAGTAATGTATTTGTTTAATAGTTTTTAGGTGCAGTTAGTTTCTGGCCTTTCAGTTGTTCTGTAGGTTAACAGGGCCCTAGGAGAAACAGCATCAATGAAGCAGGATTATCAGATTAAGAGAGGAGTTAAATTTATGTTAATAAACTTCGGGGGTAGCCGAGTTAGTCTGTACAGGATAAACTTAAAAAACAAGAAACGGTTTGTTAGCATTTTATAGACTAACCAAAAATGTAGATGCTATCATGAGCTTTCGTGGGCACAGCCCACTTTTTTTAAACTCAGGTCATTTGAAGAAGTGGGCTGTGCCCACGAAAGCTCATGATAGCATCTACATTTTTGGTTAGTCCTTGTTTTTTAAGTTTATTCATGTTAAGAAAATTGATCTGGGGTTAAGTATATCTATTACCTTTAAATCCACAACAACTCTGCCGTTTACACTGGGAAGTTTACACATCTAGGTAGATTTAGTAGTGTGGCAGACAAGCCACATCTGCAAGTATTGAAGTCAACAAGCCTGATCTGGCAGAATTCCTTTGGAATCAGGGGGAGCTGTGCTTGAACAAGAACTGCAGAACTGAGTTGTTTTTCTCACTGATGACTATTTTGCCATTTTTAAGTATGTTTGTTTGTATCCTCTGATGAAGCCTTTTTAATCCACTCAAGATATACTTAAAATGCTGAAGGGAACTGGTTGCTCCCTCACAATCAGACAGCTACATGGTTTTACATACTTTAAAACTTCTGATGGGAATACTACAAAAGATCTGAGTCAAACCCCTCGTCATTTGCCTCTTTGTATGTCTCCATTGGAAGTCTGCTTAAATACCTGGGTACCTGTCAATGAAAAGCACTAAAGGTTTTACATTTACATAATTTCTAAACTCGTACAGAATCCTTTACAACAAGCATTTGTTCTGCTGTGCATTGTTGATCAACTGTCGCATAGTCCAGGAGGCTGCTTGTCCAAACTGAACTTGGATTATGAACTGTAACCATTGTAGTGATTTACACCACAGGATGAAAAGGGAAGTTGGCTCAGAAAGAAGCAACAGTTGCCATCTGTATCCTATCATAGTCCAACCACATTTACAGCTTTACATCTAGGATTCTGCTTGTGCAGAAAAGTAAGCTGTCAAAAGCTGAGACAAGGCAGTTCTAATCGCAACTCAAATCTCCCTCAATAACTCAAGTGAGAAGTGTACTGAGAAAGCAAGAGAAAATTTAGAATACATAGTGCTACCTCTACTAATTTAAGTCATTTTGGACTGAGGTAATATTTAAAGTCTTCCCCCCACAGAAGAGATCAGATGACAATCTTTTCACTAAGATCATACACTTCTGCCAACTGATTATGAATAATCATGGTAACAGTTTAGGTGTGAGAGAGGAGGGAGATCAACTGAGGAAACTAATCTTAAGTTTGCAAACTATACCAATTGAATATTATTTTCCTTCATACCATTTCTGAAAGGTATTTTACTCTATATTCAACTGGAAACAGAATGATCGACACTTTAATGTTTTTGGCAACCCTATTAATATAAATGTTCCTGTCAACATGGTTTCTGTAAAGGGAAATCCTGTCTTACTAATCTGTTAGAGTTCTTTGAAGGGGTTAACAAACATGCGGACAAGGGGGATCCAGTAGATATACTTGGATTTTCAGAAAGCCTTTGACAAGGTCCCTCACCAAAGGCTCTTGTGTAAATTACATGGCCATGGGATAAGAGGGAAGGTCCTTTCTTGGATTGAGAACTGGTTAAAAGACAGGAAACAAAGGGTAGGAATAAATGGTAAATTTTCAGATTGAGAGGGGTAACTAGTGGTGTACCCCAAGGGTCAGTCCTGGGACCAATCCTTTTCAACGTATTCATAAATGATCTGGAGAAAGGGGTAAGCAGTGAGGTAGTAAAGTTTGCAGATGATACAAAACTGTTTAGGATAGTCATGACAGAAGCAGACTGAGGGACTCCAAGAAGATCTCACCAACCTGAGTGATTGGGCAACAAAATGGCAAATGAAATTTAATGTGGATAAGTATAAAGTAATGCACATCGGGAAAAATAACCCCAACTATACATACAGTATGATGGGGGCTAATTTGGCTACAACAAATCAGGAAAGAGATCTTGGAGTTATCGTGGACAGTTCTCTGAAAACTTCCACAGTGTGCAGTGGCGGGCAAAAAGGCAAATAGGATGCTAGGAATTATTAAGAAAGGGATAGAAAATAAGACCCAGAATATCTTACTGCCCCTGTATAAAACTATGGTACACCCACATCTTGAATACTGTGTACAGGTGTGGTCTCCTCACCTCACAAAAGATATTTTTAGCCTTGGAAAGGGTTCAGAAAAGGGCAACTAAAATGATTAGGGGTTTGGAACGGGTCCCATATGAGGAGAGGTTAAAGCGACTGGGCCTTTTCAGTTTAGAAAAGAGGAGACTGAGGGGGGATATGATAGAGGTCTATAAAATCATGAGTGGTGTGGAGAGGGCGGATAAAGAAAAGTTATTTATTAGTTCCCTAAATAGAAGAACTAGAGGATACCAAATGAAATTAATGGGTAGCAGGGTTAAAACTAATAAAAGAAAGTTCTTCTTCACACAGCGTGTAGTCAACCTGTGGAACTCCTTGCCAGAGGAGGCTGTGAAGGCTAGGACTATAATAGAGTTTAAAGAGAAGCTGGATAATTTCATGGAGGTTAGGTCCATAAAAGGCTATTAGCCAGGGGATAAAATGGTGTACTTGGCCTCTGTCTGTCAGAGGCTGGAGAAGGATGGCAGGAGACAAATCGCTTGATCATTGTCTTCGGTCCACCCTCTCTGGGGCACCTGGTGCTGGCCACTGTCGGTAGACAGGATACTGGGCTAGATGGACCTTTGGTCTGACCCAGTACGGCCGTTCTTATGTTCTTATGTCTAAAATATTAATTCCTATCACAACTCAACATAACCATATCTTAAAATCAGAAAACTACTTTTTAAAAAATTTTATGCCTTTGGCAGAACTACGTACTTCATTTCATGGTCTCACTGCACAGACAGTGTTAAAGGTTTGGTGTGAATAAGCAGTCCCATGCAGTGATACTTAGGTGAGTTTGAGACTACAAACATTAACAGGGAACTGCGGTACTGGTGTAATAGCCAAGATTTTGAATTCAAGTTCTTACGAGTCAGATTTCAAGTTGGTGTGCCTTTACAGGCTACTGAAAGCCAAGAAAAGATTACCAATAGTTTCAGCAACAGGTGCTTGCACAGGAGCTGTCTTGTTCCATGGACCAGATGCTCTTTCCACACCACTGCCAGACTCCTCCCAGTTGTCACCTGGTTCTTCTCTCTTTTCACCTTCATCATCTTCTTTCTCACTAGTGGAACAGTAGTTAGTGTGTTAGGATGAAAGACTTAGAGACTTGCCAAAAACATTATACAGTGTGTGAAACAAGACTGCCTTATTATCAATATCATTCTCATTATTAGAGAGGCTAGTCTACGGCAAAACAATTTAACTATCAAGCCCTGGCACATGCAGTACCAACATTGGTAACAATTTCACATTTAATTAGTTATCTAATGAATGGGAATACAGATACCAAGACATAGGATATACATAATGTACTAGCTGGTCAGTTTTATGCTGATCCTATGTTTTCATCTTGCTCTAAATTTTTATAACAAGATAGTTAGGCACTGTGAATTTTTGGCACTAGGTTGAGGTGGTGATGAGACACTTCACACTGAGAAAGGAGCAGAAGAATGCACACTTGTGAGCACCACTTTAGCAGGATGTTTCTGCCAAAGTGATCTCAAAAGTAAGGGGCATCAACATTTAACTGCAATTTTGAGGTATGAATTAGTTTCACTGTAGTGACTGAAACAATTTATACCACAGAATTACTGTGTGTCAGCCTGAAGATTCAAGAAACTCTAATAAACCACTAAGATTCCCTGCAACCATGAGGCTAGAAACAGCTAATAAAAATCTTACATTCTGAAGTACAATTCTGTGGCAAGTGATATTTCCTGCTTGCAGAATCCATGAGATTTTTTTCCTTATGCCTGTGAGTCACACCTGGTTGGTAGCTTTTAAATTGTATCTTGGGTATTAATTAAGGGATAGTGAAGTAATTTTTTTAACTTTACATAATGATTATACTAATTTTTCATAACATTTACTGTTGGTCTGTGAAAAACCAAAACTAATTAGTAGGATCAGGTTATCAGATATGCCAATAGCCACATTAGCTAAGCATTTTGAATGTGGATACACTTAATTTAGCAAAATGATTTAGTTTGACTTGAGAGGAAGTTATCCCGACTTCAACACAGAATGTATGTACAGCAGTAGAGCCTCAAAATGAGAAGTATATACACGGATTAAAATCTCTTTATAAAACTTTATAAAATCTTCCATGCTTTACAAAATAGGCCAATGACTTCATGGAATGAGTCATAATACAGAATTCAGGCCTTAGATTTCTGAACTGTAAAGCTACAAGACACCTATACACAGTGCTGACTGGTTTCACAATATCCTATGTCAGGACCGAGAACTTTCTGCTGAAGTAACGGTTTAACAAGTAGTGATCTTTATAGGAAACAAAAACCAAGCTGGAGAAAGCCTGAAATCTAGGTATTGAAAGAGAAGCTTTCAATAAACAGATTGTACTGTATGAATGGGTTTTAAAGAACTGAAGATCTATTTAATTTGTGGGAGCATATTCAGGAATCTCATTTTATTACATTGGGTACTTCTAGCGTCCATGACTAGCATTGTGAGAAGTGCCCTCTTTCCTTGAATGTATGGAAAAAAACTTTCTGCAGGGACTCTCATTGAAAAAAATCATATCTAGAAAATGGAAGCCAAGTCCTGATGAAGGCTTGATTAACAATCTTTTAAGAAAAAAGTAGAGATGATCATTAAACTAGTCCCTGCTAGTTACTTCCCTTCAGTCTCTGATCAGTTATACTTATCTGAAAGGTCAAATTAAGACACTCAACTCCAGCTACGCTAATTGTGTAGCTAAAGATAACTTATCTTAATGTGACTTATGGTGCAATCTCCACAGCAGGAGACTGACGGGAGAAATGCTCCCACTGACTTCCTTTACTCCTTGTGAGGACTAGGAGCTCCAACGACTATGGATGGGGTCATCTTTACTAGACCCACTAAATCGCACTCTAGAAGATTGACAGCTGCAGCGTTGATCTTCCCATAAATAAAGATGTGGCCTAAGTGATACTTGTGAGTATGTAGAAGGCTTGATTGGTGAAAAAATTATTAAAAGGCACACAACAGGACAAGCAGTTCTGAGGGAAAAAGACTGCTTGGTTAACATGGAACTATCGTTATGAATTAAGAATTAGCCTTTTAGAAAGATAAGTAGTTCAGACTAAGATTAGGCAAAAAGTAGTAATTAGTAGTTTTGATGCAAGATTTAGGCATTTTAATGTGGTCCCAAATTTCATAAAGTTTCAAGCACGTGTCCTCTAAAAAATCCAGTTAACAGATATTCAGTGGAGAGATCTGCTTGATAATGGACACGAATGCACATGAAAATGAAAAATGTTTCTTTGCAATTAAATCAAGGGGAATCCTTGGTAGAAGATACTAAAATGCCCCGTAACCTCAAAAGAAAGCGGCTTAGAGTTCTTACTGGACAAAACCCAAGAAGCTAGTAGCTGCATTTTTCACTTTATTCAGGGTGACGATGTTTAGGTTGAGGACACTTACTCATTCATCCCACAATCCACTCATCAAAAAGGAATGGAATGGATTCAGTTACTTCTGTGGAGGCAAGCAGGGACCCCTGATGCAAATGAAGAAACTGGATGAGTCTGACTATCCTGTACTGATTTGTCCTCTATGACACTGTCTAGCACAGGGGCAGGCAATCATTTTCGAAGGGGACCACTTCTCAAATTTTGGAAGTGGCCATGGGTTTACCTGGAAAAGGCAGGGCCTCCAGCAGAAGGGGTGGGGATGAGAGCTACCCTACCACAGTGCTACTCAATACGTGACTCGCAGCTGGGATCTTTTGAACATGTCCTCCACTGGGAACACGCTCCACAATGGCAAGGCATCTCCCAGGCAGAGTGAGCATTGAAAGACACAAGCAGACGGGCTGGCTGGAACACACGAGTACAGAGCGTCGACGTTTCTAGCCCCCAGGGAGGTGGGGCCAGGAGCGCCGAGGCATTGTGGGAAGTACTGGCTGCTTAACATTCTGGGCAGAGTCTGAGAGGTGCAGACTGGCTCACACTGGCCACGTTTGGGTCTGGCGTCATGGCTTAAAGCTTAATCTTTGTATTCATGACTGTCAGTGTGAAAGAAGCTATTTGCATGTATATTCAACCACACTTAAGTTACGGCCCTTGGCATTTGCTGTGACTATCATTGTAGCCCCCAAGGCTTCCAAAGTTGAGTAGACCTGTCCTACTGGGAGCTTTGCTTGGCCTGGAGTCCCTCCTTCTTGACTTCTGACCAATAGAAGGGACCTGGAACAGATGGCAAGGTGCTGGGGGCTAGCCTCCTCCCAGAGTTGTCTGGAGTGGAGGCTTACAATTCACTTAATACAGCTTGCAGCTCCTGCCCCCTTCCCTGCTGTTAACTAGGGCTGTCAATTAACACATGTTAATGCCTGCGATTAATGCAGAGCACAATTAACTTGTTAATTGCGGACATTTCCACGGCACTGCCCCTTTGAAAGGCTGGAGCAGTGTTTCCAAGGGGAAGCACTGCACCAAGCTGGGGACTCCAGCTGATCCTGGGCTCCTGCGGAGTTGCCCTTTCGAAACACTGCCTCTGCGTTTCAAAGGGGCAGCTGCATTGAGCCTGGGGTCAGCTGAGGACTCCAGCTGAACCCTGGCTTCCATAGCGCTGCCCCTTTGAAACGTCACCGCAGCACGTCAAAGGGGCAGTGAACGCGATTAATCACAATTTTTTTTTTTATTGCTTGATAGCCCTACTGCTAACCTGTTGCCTGGCAGCTGCATTGAACAGAAGCATTGAAAGGGCTCGCACCTCCCAAGCAACAAGCCAGTGGAACCAAGAGCTGTGAGCCATTTCAATTGCTTCTGTTTAAAGGGCTTGCACCTGCTGGGTGGCTGTCACCCAGCAGGCACAAGCCCTTTAAGTACAAGCAGTTAAAAGGCATGCACATCTCTGTCTCCCAGGCAACGTGCTAGGCAGCAGGGCCTGGAACTGCCTCGCAGGCCAGATCAAAGCCCTAAGTGGGCCAGATTCAGCCTGCTTAAAGGCTTTTGCCCACCCCTCATGTAGAAGAATGTGAAGGAAGTCTTCTCTAAGATCTGAACCTAAGATGATCAGTATTCTGGAACCACAATCCTGCTAGTACTACTGTTGTGCCAAAAAGTAAAACTGTGTGTGTAGCTGGAAACCCCAACAAGAGAAATCTAGGAAATAAGGATGAAGAGTGAACTGGGATACAAAAATACCACCTGGAATACGTACTAAGATAATCTTGAGTTATCAATTATATTAAGTGATCTCAGAGTCTCCTTACTGAAAATAGATTTCCATTTATATATGTAGAGTTTCCCACTCTAAATTCACCTTTTGCCTGCATAGAATTATTGGCTAGAATGTATAACAAATCTTTACTAAACTAAATTCTGCAGAATTAAATCTCCAAACAAAAAAAATATATATATATTATAGTAATGTGCGCCAATGTTTTTGCTGGAAAAAAACCACAACAGTGGTACCTTATTTGCATGGACTGAACTCTAAGTCCACTGTAGTCAATCTCTTCTTTTTGCTCAAATTCCTTCCATTCATCCTCTTCCTGTACCAAAAGAAATGTTTACAATCTTGTTACCATTTCCATACAATGAAAGAATTGAAAGTGCAAGGAGAAACTACAGCACCAATGGGCCAAAAAATATGGAAAAGGAACTAAAATTTTAAAATTTCCTACTCATCTACTTCCGTTATCTGAGCTTAATATCTATGCATATTAAAATAGTCTTTTTGGATTTTAGACAAGAGATACAGCATTAGCACAATTCATGCTGTTCAGCATGGTTGTGATTTGAATAGATTAGAGGATTCTCATTTAGAAGTGAGGTCATACAAATCAAATTACCACAAAAAACACCAATTTCAGCATGAAAGTGTTATGATTGTAATTTAACTTTTAACGAGATCCAGAATATGCAATGTTCTTTTGCCTTTTAAGTGCTTTATAAGGCATGGCTTAGTAAAACACATGCACAGTGCAGACAAGGGTGATTTTTAATTAGCTTTCACCTATGGTTACAAAAATTACCTTGTGTGCATTTCACACTGGGAAAATCATGCAATGTTCTCCTGACAACAAGCACTTCCACTGCCTTTGCTGTTGACCATAATTTTGCCAAGTTGAAAAGTTAAATTTAAGATTCCAATTACTTTTATAACTTCCACTCAGAACCCCATGAACAACAGTGAAATTTATTTTAAAGTTTTACCTTTCTCCTTGAAAAAGAGTTACAAGCAGCAGTACTAGTAAGCTTTGCCACTACTACGGAATATGATAAATGAGGAAGAGAATGTATAAGAAACCCCCACCCCATTTCCACAGCATCCAAAAAAAAACCAGAGAACAAGTCTCATCCTTCCCAGTGTTTCTTGAGAAGGACTTCAAACCCCTTGAGGCTCACATGAAAGATAAAGACCTTTTATGCAGGGTCTTTGAACAGCACCCTCTCCCTACTCCCCTCCCCAACATCTGAAAGGCACAGGGCCTATCTTCTTATCAGATTATTACCCCAGAACCCTCCCCTTATCATGTAGGCCTATCTCTGGCAGGCAATTAAAGATCTGGTTTAAAGTAACAATATTAATAGCAAATTACTATCATGTTCCTGGGATTGGTTGCCTACAGACTTTATTCCTTCATGAAGAATGCTGCTCTCCATTTGAAGCAATTGAGATATTTTACATTACCTTCTAATGGCAAAATGTTGCCAGATCAGTATTTCTTTAATTAAAGACTTGTTAAAATTTTGTATTTTGCGTTTTGTTAGCTTTTCTGTGTTCTATTTAGAAAAGCCTAAAGTAATTAACTATTATCTCTATTTTAGGAATGTGGCCTGAAATGTTAAGGCATTAATCCTAGTCAAGTTATTAAGTCTCAGAATTCCATACATCCAACCTCTAACTTGGGGGAGAGTCTCAAACTCAGTTTACTTTAGGGACAGTGCCAGTCCTCAAATTCTCCTATTGAACCAGGGCCCTAGGGGGAGCCCAAGTCTCCACCTCACCCCCAGTGTATCGTCTAGCTCTGTCTGCCACCCGCCAGGGTTTTAAATCCTTTTTAAAATCCCACCAGCCACACAGCAGGGCTAGAACAGCTGCTGCTAGCTCTGCATTGCTGCTGGCATATCCCTGTAGCCCAGGGGAGGTGTGTGCAGAATTGTCCCGTGTATAGGGCTCAGAGTGGTCGCCCAAGGCACTGTGGTTTTGGTGGCCTCATGGCAGCTGCCCCCAACCATCCTATGGAGTGAATGATCCTCCATACTCAGATTAACCTGCAGCACCCTGGGTAGGCTGGGGCTGGCAGCAGGGGTCAGGCCCTCCCTCCCTGAGCTCACCATGGCAGTGGGAGCCACAGGGAAGGGGGTGATGTCAGGGTGCTGCATCACTCCTCTGGTGCCACTGTGGTGAGTGCAGGGGGTCCACCTTCCTTGCTGCCCTGTGCCAGACCCCCCTGTTAATTCCCAAAGCCACATCCATCAATGGAAATGGCTTGGAGGAAGGGGTACAATGAAGGGGGGAGGAGGCGGCAGTGCAGGAATGGGGCTTAGATAAAGGGTATGGACTCTCTTCCACCCTCCCCTCCAACTCCTCTGGTGCCACTGTGGTGAGTGCAGGGGGTCCACCTTCCTTGCTGCCCTGTGCCAGACCCCCCTGTTAATTCCCAAAGCCACATCCATCAATGGAAATGGCTTGGAGGAAGGGGTACAATGAAGGGGGGAGGAGGCGGCAGTGCAGGAATGGGGCTTAGATAAAGGGTATGGACTCTCTTCCACCCTCCCCTCCATAGCCACCTGTAGGCAGGACTGTGGAACAGATAGGGCCAAGATGGCCCACGGGCTGAGTTTAAGACCCCTACTCTAACTAACCTATGTGAGGGATAAACTTCCCTGTGGGTAAGTTATTCTAGAAGATGGTTTATCAAAGCTTCCTCTGAAGCAACTGGAAATGCCTGTCAGAATCAGAATATTAGCTTAAATGACTGTTACATTTAGTGTATTACAGCAATGTTTGCATTTGCTCTTGCATGCCAACCTTTCACTTCATTCTTTTCCCTAGATTCACAAAAGCTGTCAGCAACCAATGCACTCGTTGGCAGAAATAAATGATTTAGCATATACAGATATGTGGTCTGTGGACCTCTGAACTGGAAGGGACCCATCTAGGGAACCATGCAGTACTTTTCTGGAGTCTGTGGAAGGTTGGCTAGTCACATGGTGATGGGTCCTCCTTATTTAGGACTATAAAATCACTTTAGTGAGCTAAATACTGCCCATAGATATACTAGACAGAAAAAACTTCTGGATTGCAAACTGAGCCTTTGTGAGTTTTGCCAACTGTGAAGCAGAAAGGTGCGAGCTACGCCGACGTGAGGCGTTTGCACACTAAAGCGGGTTTGCACACTAAAGCCCGCAGCAGAAACCTCGGCGTACTTATTTTCCTGCCATTACATTTCTATTCTTTGCATCTGCGGCAGCTAACTCCACCGGCTGAAAGGCATTACTGTCCCCCTCCCGGGATCGGTATGATCCGTGGTCGTTTCCGGCGCGCCCCGCCCCATAGCGCGACAGAGCCCCCCCTGAAGCGGCGCTGCCACGCGAGGGCTGACAGGCGCTCAAGGCCCTCGGCGTACTTATTTTCCTGCCATTACATTTCTATTCTTTGCATCTGCGGCAGCTAACTCCACCGGCTGAAAGGCATTACTGTCCCCCTCCCGGGATCGGTATGATCCGTGGTCGTTTCCGGCGCGCCCCGCCCCATAGCGCGACAGAGCCCCCCCTGAAGCGGCGCTGCCACGCGAGGGCTGACAGGCGCTCAAGGCCCAGCACGTGCGGGGCGGCCAAAGAGACACCAGCCGCCCACTGGTTCCCCTCCCCCCGCTCCTCCGGGCACACACCGCCCACGACACG